TGAGAGCAACTGTGCTCTGCCTTGTGGGCACCTGGTGGGATTGTACTTTCTGGACCCCTGCAGTTGATAGCACCATGTGACTTGTTCTGGCCAATCAACTGTGAGTGGAACTTCCATGCGTCATTTCTGGGCAGAGTGTTTTCCGGTGGAAGGAGCTCCAGAAGGTACTCCTCTTTAGCCTCCTAGTAAGCAACAATTGCAATGTTCCATAGGAACTGAAACTCTGACAGCTCCCAGCCAACTTGTGATGACAAGTAATTGGACAAAAATAAACCTTTACTATGTTATGCCCCTGAGATCAAGGGATTATTTGTTACCACAGCATAAGTTAGCCCATCCTGACTGATACATTTGGATAGCCAAATTTGAATGGAGTTAATTTGGGGGCTGAATCTGAGCAATATCAAGTACCATAAAGGATTGTAGTACCATTTTATTAATCAGTTACTATGTGCCATATGGTCTGCAAGGTACCTGACATATTACTAATTCTCAACACATCATTTCCAAGTAGAAACTACTTTTCTCACTTTATATATGAGAGAACTGAACCTCAGCGAATTGCTGTAACCTGAAGCAGGTGATATAAATCTGATCAGTTGCTAATATGAAACTCATTTACTCACCCAGTCACTCATTATTTGCTGTTTCCGATTGCCCACTGATGTTATGCATTAGACCCAGGAATATGATGGTGAACAAAGCAATCACAGGCCCTCCCCTCCCAGGGTTTAGTCCCTTCAGAATGACTCAGCTGCCTCAGCCCTACCCCTGGAGATGGTTGTCTGAGGAGGGGCCCCTGACATCACCGTTTCTTAAAAGCTCCCAGGTGATTCTGTAGAACATACAGGCTCATAATCCAGATAACCCAGGCTTTCCAGACTCCAAACCCCTACTACCCAGTTGCTCAGCACATAGCCCCTTGCTGGACCAGGTTTGACTGGGCCAGAGCAATTGGCAGGTTGACAATTCTCCTCACTTCCTCTCATAGACCTAGCCATGCTCATCTTCTATTCCCTCAACCTCTCCCTCTCTCCACCTGCCCATGTTACAGTAGGACCTTTGAGCTGAATGAGACATTAGAAAGAATCATGGTTTTCTAACATTAAAGCTCTTAATTACTTTTTTTGAAAAAAAAATTATGAACATACAGTATGTTGATACAGATGATAGTAAGACCTGAATGGAATTAGAAGATGGGATCGAGGACTTTTGCCCTTCTTTTGCCCCTTACCTACGCCATCTCTCTGGAATCCTCAGGTTCTGAAAGGCATAGTTTGAAGGCTACTGGCATAGTCCTACTACCTCATTTGATGCCACAAAAAGAGAATGGAGTTCCCCAAGTTCCCAAAGCCACAGCTTTCTCAGTGGCAGACACAGAGGGAAGAACCTACATCTCCTTGATCTCTGCCCAGTGCTTTTGCCACCACAACCTGGAAACCCCCTGGCCATATTAAGGGTAAAGGTGGTATCAGTGTTGTTCTAGAACCTGAAAATATTCAACCAAAGAATAGCAGAGTATCATAAAAGGCCTCCTGGAGGAGGGAGTGGCTGAGTTGAGGTCTGAAGAATGAGTTGACACTGGACAGGCCAAAAGAGGTGGGTAGCATTTCATCTTGAGGGAGCTGCAAATGCAAAGGTCCTGAGGCAAGAGAGAGAAAGTGAAAACTTCAGCAGCTTCAAGTCTGACCAGAGGACAGGCGACAAGAGATAAGGCTGAAATAACAAACAGAGGCCATGATCACGAAGGACAATGAGCACCATGCTAAGGAGATTGGACTTGAACTTTGTCCTAAAGACAATGAGGGTCACTTGGGAAAATTATGTATTATAGAACATCACTTTGGCTCAGTAAGAATGGTTTAAGTTGATCACAATTTGACACAGAGACTCCAGTTAAGCTACTGTGATAACACATAGGAGGGAGGACAATATTAAGGGAGTGATAACTAGGTATACTGAAAGCCAATAAGGAGGTCACTGTCTAGGTCTAATGAATGATTAAGTTAGGGGGATGAGAAAAAGCAAGCACAAAGGATGACAATTAGGTTTCTCCTTTGGGCATCTGGTGATGGGTGGTGGTGGGTGAGAAACCTTTCACAAAGACAAGGAACATAGGGGAAAGGGGATCTGTCTGAGCAGGGAAGTGGTGAGATCAGCCCATCAGTCAATTGTTCTTGTCTGCAAATCTCAGAAAATTCAATCCCAATTGGTTGAAACAAAAAGGATATGTACTATCTCATATTACAAAAAGTTTAGATGTAAGGCAGTTTCTGAGCTGGTTAATTCAGAAACTCAACAAATTCACTAAAGATTCACATTTTTCTGACTACACGATCATCCCCAGCATGTCTGTGAGCAGCCCTCATGGTAGCAAGATAACACAGCAGTCCTGAGCCTGACATCTTCACACAGTTTTTGTTCCCTAGGGCTATTGTAACAAAGTGTCACAAACTGGATGGCTTAGGACAACAACGTTTACTGTTTCATAGTTCTGGAGACCAAAAGTCAGAAAACCAGATGTTGGCTTGTTTCCCTCCAAGAGCTTCAGTGAAGAATCTGTGAAGCCTTTCTCTTAGCTTTGGGTATTGCAAAATTCTTGGCATTTCTCGGCTGGCAGCTGCCATAACTCCAATCTCTGTCTCTGTCATCACACTACACTCTCTCAGTATCTATGTCCAAATTTCCCTCTTTTTAGGGAAACTAATCATATTGGATTAGGGCCCACCATATGCCAATTTGACCTCATCTTAACTAATTACACCTGCAAAGACCCCATTTCCAAATAAGGTCACCTGCTAAAGTATCAAGGGTTAGATCTTCAACATATCTTTTTGGAAGACATAGTCAACTAATGACCTATACCAAGTCAGAAAGGGAATGTGATGGCTAATTTTATGTGTCAGTGTGACTAAGCCACAGCATGCCCAGATATCTGGTTGAATATTATTCTGGGTATTTCTGTGAAAGTGTATTTGGATGAGATTAACATTGAAATGAATAGTTTGAGTAAAGCAGATTGTCTTCCTTAATGTGGGTGAGCCTCATCTAATCAGTTGAAGGCACACAAGGCACACAAAGGCTCACCCTCCCCCCAGGTAAGAGAGAATTCTTCTTCCTGACCACCTTCAAAATAAGACATCAGCCTTCCCCCCCCCCTTCAGATTCAAACAGAAATAGTAGCTTTTATTAGATCTTGGTCCTGCTGACCTTCAGACTTGAACTCCACTATTGACTCCTGGCTCTCCAAACTTCAGACTCAGACTGAAACTAAACTATATGCTCTCTTGGACCTCCAACTTGCTGACCCAGCACACAGATCTCAAAACTTGCCCTTCTCCATAATCATGTGAGCCAATTCCTTATAGTAAATAGACACACACACACACACACACACACACACACACACTCCTAGTGGTTCTCTGGAGAATCCTGATAACACAGGGAACCCGTTCTTCTTGGTATCTCTTCTATCTCTTTTTTTAGAGTTAGGAAATCTTACTCAGAATTCCTATTCTCACTGGCTGAATTTGGGGAATGGGGTTATCAGAATTGTCTTAGACTAATCTGAATTCCTCTGAGTGACTTGGAATAGATGTACAGACTGGAAAAATTAAGACTCCTCCAACATGGAAGAGGAGGAAGGACTCGCCAGTGTCAGCTACAGCAGAAAGTAAAGGAATTCAGGAGGAACAAGCCTTAGGTCAGGCCCCAGTCAGGCACCAGCCTCCAGGAGACCATGAGACACCAGTGACAATGACTTGCAGCTCTCGTCCAGCAAACCATTATTCTTTCGGGGCAAGAACCTATCCCATCTATGAGCCCCTGGTGGAACCTATGAGTGAGACTGGAAGAAGAATGTAGTTGTCTGGAAATGAGGAGGTGCTAAAAGCAAAGCCTTTGATACCATTTTAACAGGAATCTCTTTCCTCAGCCATGGAAATGTAGAGACTTTCAGATTTTGCCCACTTGTGTCATTCCCAGAACTCGTTCTTACCCTTGAAATGAACTGAAAGATGTTGCTGCTCTCAGAGAGTCCTCTGAGAGGAAGTCACATTATCTGTCTCTGAGAAGTAGGCTGTGAACATCTGTGGTCATGGAAAATACTACAGAAAAATCTCCAGGGGCTGGATGCTGTGTCTTCAGAAAACCAGCTGGTCCCTTTCCCCAGAGAGCTTACAATCTATCTGGAACCCCAAAATATGAGGCTGGAATGAAAATTGCTCCCATTTGTAAGAAGTACTTTGTAAGTGCCAGGCACGGAGCTGAGGACCTCACCTGTGTCCAATTCTGTACTTCTCACAACATGACAAGATATAAGCCATTATTCCCATGTTACAGAGAGGAAATGGGAACTCAAAACCATTTCTTAACTTGTTCGAGTTGAGATGAATGGCAGAGTTACAACTCATACTTGGCTCAGTCACACACCAAAGCCTGTGTTCTTGCCCCTAAGACATGGGACAAATGATATGTCTCGAATTCTGAGAAAAAGAGAAATTTTTGTGGGAGGGGTAGAGGTAAAGAAGAAAGATCTCCTGAAGGAGAGTAGTTAAAGGATGCTCACCTTGAGCAGTGAATAGAATTTATTATAAGCTTTTTTTTTCTTTTTTTTTTTTTTCCAAAGTGAGACAGCAAAACACAGCAGGGAAAAATGAATTTTCCAAGGTCATGCCACAAGTCACTAGCCAAGCCTGGCCTGTCACTCCAAGTGCTGAATTCCCAGCTCACTGAATTCAGCAATCGAAGCATGGGTGGTGGGACTATGTCAAATTTGTCTGGAATAAAACACATACCCTACAATGTTTCCCCTCTCCTCCTTTCCCCACAAGCGTCCTTCTCTCCCTCCACAAATAGCCCTCTTACCGTCCCCCCACCAATCCATAAACCGTCCCAGGAAATGCCAGGATCTGAACACCATATTGGCCATGAGGGACTCGGTCAACTTCTTTGCCTTCTGGCTGTTCTAAACAAACAAAGGGCAGTGCACAAGTTATTAGTAAATACCAAGGCTTAGTTTATTGTATAAAACTTCAATCCAACAAATAAATGAGCCATCAAGTTTGAATTTATGTAGCATTCAGAACACATTAAAGCCATCTGACCATGACAAAGGCCTTTCCTGCTTTGAATGATGAAGCCAGCATTGCAAATACCCTTCGGATGAGACATTAAGCGAGGTCCTTTCAGTTTGTCTCTGGGGACTGTCAAGGTGGAAGGTAAAGGTTCTGGCACTTTTCTAAAGAATTCTTCTGGGAAAATCCCATCTTGGCTAACATCTCCTTTTCTCTTAAAATTAAAAAACAAAAGGATTTGTGAGCCCATAACGGTCAGAACAATTACAGTCACTCAGCTAGGGGTCATCTAGCCGACTGCCCCAAGGTCCTTACTTACCTTGAGCGACTCCCAGAGAGACATCAAGGAACACGCAACTTCTCATTAAAGGATCCTGGCAGCTGATCACAGGAGGTTCCAGATGCTATTGTGGCCTATCTCAGAGCAGTTTCTCCATCTGCAAAGTGGAGACAAGCAAATGAGATGATATAAGAAAGAGCATTTTATCAATTCCAAAGCCCAGTTCAAATGAAGGTGTTATTGTTAACAATATATAAGAGAAACAGTTCGGCCCCACCTTCACACTCCAGTGTAGTTTCTCTCCCTTTAATTGTAGGCAGTGGAAAGTTTCTCATTGCAACTGGCATTCCTGCTTTTGCAGGGAGCTCCTGGGGTCTGCAGCTGCTATTAATGATTGGGGTTCAGTCGCTGGCATGGAGCTCCATCTGGCCAAGGACAGAGCCTCTCCGGCAGCAGGCGGTGTTCAGGCAGACATTGCCTGGAAATATATGTAGAGAACCTAGGAGAAATTACATTTGGGTGATCTTCTTCCCGTCGCACCCCCAAGTCCAACCCAAAGGAAGATCAAAGACAGTATTAAAAGTACCCCCTCCAAACAGTGCCCTAAAAAGGTAGAAGTCCAATAAATCTGGGTGAGAGTGTTTGGAAAGGGAATATTCATTCAGCTAGTTGATCGGACACCCACCATGTGCAGTCACCATGTTGGCTGCTGAAGAGTAAGACACAGGACCCACTCTCTGCAGGGAGTCAGACGTAAACAGACTTGCTCAAAAGCAGATAGGCTCCGGCTGCAAGTAGCAACCAACCAGCTGTGTCTTGCAGAGCCCAGATGCACTCCCTTGGTTTCAGAGCCTTTAGGGTTAGGACTGATTGGCATATGTAAGAGTTCCACGTCTTTTTAGCGCCTCTTTCTTTCACTTCCACAAGGATCTGGGTCATTAACTTCCTCAGTCTCATGTTGGGGTGGTTGATCTCAGCAGAGACACCACAAGGTGCATCCTGTGCAAATTCTCTACTAGAAGGCAGTGAGAGGAGAGAGCTGAAAGCAACCAAGGGCTCAAAGAGGACAAAGGAGACAAAGGGATCAAGCAGAATAAATGCAGTCCTTGGTCTCTAGATGTCTGAACTTTTGTATAAGAGCTGGAAATAATTACAAATACCCTTGAAATTCTCATGCTAGACTCTCAATCCCACTCAGTTGTCACCACAACCCCAGGAAAGAAATGTTCACTGCCCCCCACCAGTAAATATGTTTTCCAAAATCCATAGCTAATAAAGTCAGGATTTGGACTCAGACCTAGATAACTTCCAATCTAGATTCTGGGTTGGACTCTACACTGCCCCCGCCCAAGCCCTTGTTAAAGGCTTGATCTTTTGAAAATATGCTTTGAAGATTAACGTTCAGATGAGATGATGGGTATAAGGCACCCAGAGTAATACCTGGAACCTAGTACATGGTGAATGCATGAAAGCTACTTTTCATCCTACTGTTATCATCACGCCATGGCGGGAGCTCAGAGACCAGAATCCAGCTCTGACTGGTGCTGGAGCAGCGGAGGACGTCAGGCAAATTATCAGTGTATTCAGGGCAGGACCCAGATCCTAAAAGGTGAGTTTTGGAAGGCGGATCTTTGTGCTAAGCAACAAGGCTACAGAGTGTGTGTGTCTGTCCGTCCAACAGTCCATCCATCCAACAGAATTTTTCCAAGCACATCTCATGGGCCTGGCAGCGAGGATGAAGTGATGAACAAAACAAGCATAGCTCTGACCCTGTGAAGCTCATAGGTGGGGAGGAGGGACCACAGTAAACACAGAAAGGAATAAATCTGTCATGACACACTGAGGAAAGCATCATGAATGAGATGTGCAGGGAGCTCTCCTAGAGAACCCTGGAGGAGAAAACCTACTGAGAATATCAAGGAAGTTCTGTCCGAAGAGGTGAGGTGACAATTAAAACAGATGAGAAACATAAGAAGCCAGCCCAGGGAAGGAGGTAAGCAGAGCAAAGGGAGACCGGTCCTGCACAGAGCTGCCCAGTGGGTCAGCTGATAGCCAGTCTTGTTGGCACAAGAGCTCACTTTCAAGCCCTCAATTCATGAGAGAGTGTAAGGTGGTGAATGTCTCTCCCCACATCACTGATTTGGAGACTGGGGCCCTGGGATCCTAAAGGAGCCAGGAGAAGCTAGGATATAAAAAACGACACCAGTAGGGACCCAAGCGTTGACATCCAGATTCTCTCCAAATTCCTCCTGAGATGCCTTGAAGGAAGGTGTTGGTTTTGGGTCTGGGGAACCTGATGGGGACAGGCCACCAGGTGAACTCTAGTCTGTTTTCCAAAGCCCCAAAAAGAGCACTACTGCTATTTACATTTCAATGTAAATCAAGCTGCCTTCAACCAGCAAGGCTGTGTAAACTTGCGTTTAATGTCAGGTTTATATTAATATTTGCATTAACAAGATTGATCGTTTACATAACAATGCATATGTACCGTCTGGGCTAGGTTTGGGTTTACACACATTTGCATAATGTTTACAAATTGATTGATTAGACAAACTGTGCATAAATCCAAGTAAACTACTCATTGTTTGTTTATTTTTTCTATTGGGGCTGGGTAGCCTATATCTTAATAAGTGGGCTAAACTGAACCTCAGTCCTCTACTATAACCTTCACAGAAGACTTAATAGTTTGTAAAAGTAATTTTCACTGAAAAAGAGAGAGATAAAATCATTGGGGCTATTTTCTCCTTTAATCTCCTGCATTGAGTGGCTAAGGAGGACCCTAACTGTAAACTATGCTCTAACAGAGATAAAACCCGGGCTGTAGGTTAAAAAAAAGGGATTCAAGACCCCTTCTGCCTTTGCAAGGGCAGGAGGGTTTCTTAGAGATGGTCACGTGTGGCAGGGACCTTGATGGGGAGCCTACACCAAGGGTCTGGAGAAGCCAGCGGTGATTGATGCTTCCTTGTATACCTTGACCATCTCCATCTGGCTGAAGAATGATCTTTTGTATAAGAGCTGGAAATAATTACAAATACCCGTGAAATTCCCATGCTAGACTCTCAATCCCACTCAGTTGTCACCACAACCCCAGGAAAGAAATGTTCACCGCCCCCCACCAGTAAATATCCAAGCCCAAGCAGAGGAAAGCCTGGAAGCAGACAGTAGAAGAGACTGTAAAAGAGAAAGGTACCATGCAGAAAGAAATTAAAATCCACTAATCTTTTAAATGTCTTTTTTTATTTTTCATGGACCTTCTCATGGAAAGTTCTGTTAATCACTTCCTCCACATTTGTGGCACAGAGTCTAGTGGGATCCATGCACGGCTCTGATCTGCATTCCAATTCACTCCCACTGCACAAGGGGCACTGTACCACTCAACTGCACCCAACAGATCTTTGGAAATCATGGAAATAAACAAAGACCAGCCACGTGAGAATAAGCAAAGGCTATTTATTCCAAGTTTGCTATTAACAAAGGAGTCAGCCACTGTTGCTTGCATTTTGGCAGAGACACAAAGACAGGCAGAGGAGTGGGAATGTTTCATCATGGGAAGGGGAAACGTTTCACGTATGCCCTGATTGGAGGTTGTTGGCCAAAGCTGGAGGTGGGCTAACTTGAAGCAAAGCATCCCTATGTGATGGGTTTGGCTTTCTCTGACTGGTATCTTAAGTTTAAGTGGGAACAAATATTAGAGAAGCTATCAGTTATTAACAAAGCCCAGGCTGTTTTGGGTCAGAAGCTATTGTTTAGCTTCTGGATCAGTTAGAAGCCTGACTTCCTACAGGAATGACCCAGCAGACTGGCTTCCGGGGCTGGTGATTAGAGATAAGGGTTTGGTTTCTTGGGCAGGCTGCTGCAAGTTGTGGGTCAGAGCTCTATTTTTATATAAGTTCCAGCCACTGTCTGTATATTCAATCCCCAGATATGGGTACCTTATAAAATGAGTAGTGTTGTTTTCTGTGTGTATGTGTTTTTAATTCACTAAAGAGAGTTGTGCATAAATCTCTTGGTGTTCTTACTTTTCACATGCAATACTATATGCAATACTATGAGTCAAGGGTATATCTGGGTTGTTGTATGTGTGCAGTACATTTCACCTATGGCTGAATATTCTCCATTGTATACATCCATTAATATGCACCTTCCACTTTTCTATCAAGTTGCCTCGAGTATCCACCACCATTGGCAACATTGAGATCAAGAGCCTAGTATGTGGGGATACCTGGGTGGCTCAGTCGGTTAAGTGTCTGCCTTCAGCTCAGATCATGATCTCATGGTCCTGGGATCAAGCCCCGCATCAGGTTCTCTGCTCAGCAGGGAACTTGCTTCTCCCTCTCCTTCCCTCCCCCCACCCCCACTTACACTCTAACATCTCTCTCTGTCAAATAAATAGGTAAAACCTTAAAAAAAAAAAACATAGATCTTCATATGTGTTCACTTAGGAAACAATACGCCAGACTCCCCTGTTCCTACACTCAGTGTAGGAGAACTGAGTCATAAGACACGTGGTCCTTTGTTTCAGTATCACTGGACTCTTCTCAGATGGTTATAAAAGTTTGTATCTTGTCAACGATGTGTGAGAGTTCTCATTTTCCCACATCCTTGCCAACACTTGGTGGTAATAGGCTTTTTATTTATGGAAAATGGGAGGGTGCAGAGTAGTCTCTATTCCACTGATGTTTTAATCTTCGGGTTATTTATTTCAGAGAGGTTGAGCCTCTCATTAATAATGCTTATGACACATTCAAGATTTTCCCTTCTGGGAGCTGTCTGTATTTTTTACCCATCTTCTACTGGTTTCCCTGTCTTTTTCTTGTTGATTTACAGAAGCTCCTTGTATGTTCTAGATGTTAAATGCTTGCTGGTTTTGGAAGTTGCAGAAGTTTTCTCTCAGCGTGTCCCCTTCTTAAAGTCTAGTGAGCTTTACTGAATAAAACTTCTGAATTTTAATGCAGACAAATTCATCAATTCTTTGTGTGTTAGGGGGTCACTATAAGAAGTTCTTCCCTAGGCTAAAAGAACACAAAAATAATCTTCCCCAATTCTATCAGCTCTGTGAAAGAGGTTTTTGACCTGGAGGGCATTAACCTAAAATTCAAAGTGTCAGTGAACTTGGAATAAACTAAGTATATCTTCACCTTATGTGACAGTTGTTTTGGATATCTCAAAATTTTGCTTATGCTCATCACTATTTCAAAATTGCCACAGTTATTAGATTTACTACTGGAGCTTATAAGTTAATGCTTTCATAAAGAAGCATATATTTTACTTCACAATTTTTTAAATGTCTGCATTTTTACAAAATTGGTTTCCTTAGTAATTCTGTCTAGTTCCTTATATGTATTTAAAAACATTCTGAGGAGTCCATCAGTTTCCTCAGATTAACAAAAGGGTCAATGTTAAAAACCCTACTTCATCAGCTTACCTTTCATATTCAGGTCTTAATCTTCACATATAATGTGAATCTGATTCCTACCTCACACCATATGCCAACACTGTAGGCAGAACAATCCTTCTCTTCCAAGCTGATTTTTGGTGCCCTCTTTATTATGATAAATTTTCCATATATATCTAAGTCTGTCCCTGAGCTTCTGCTATCAAGCTTTGCCCAATCCAGGCTAAGATTCTGAAATATACAGTGGAAGACTCCTACTCCTACTCCATCCACTCTTCCACAAAGAGTCAGCTTTTGGAGACGTATTTGATT